ATAGCCAAAGTAATCCTGAGAAAGAAGAATGGAACTGGAGGAATCAATCTGCCTGACTTCAGACTATACTACAAAGCCACAGTCATCAAGACAGTATGATACTGGCACAAAGACAGAAATATAGATCAATGGAACAGAATAGAAAGCCCAGAGATAAATCCACGAACCTATGCTCACCTTATCTTTGACAAAGGAGGCAAGGATATACAATGGAAAAAAGACAACCTCTTTAACAAGTGGTGCTGGGAAAACTGGTCAACCACCGTAAAAGAATGAAACTAGAACACTTTCTAACACCATACACAAAAATAAACTCAAGATGGATTAAAGATCTAAATGTAAGACCAGAAACTATAAAACTCCTAGAGGAGAACATAGCCAAAACACTCTCCGACATAAATCACAGCAGGATCCTCTATGACCCACATCCCAGAATTTTAGAAATAAAAGCAAAAATAAACAAATGGGACCTAATGAAACTTAAAAGCTTTTGCACAACAAAGGAAACTATAAGCAAGGTGAAAAGACAGCCCTCAGATTGGGAGAAAATAATAGCAAACGAAGCAACAGACAAAGGATTAATCTCAAAAATATACAAGCAACTCCTCCAGCTCAACTCCAGAAAAATAAATGACCCAATCAAAAAATGGGCCAAAGAACTAAACAGACATTTCTCCAAGGAAGACATACAGATGGCTAACAAACACATGAAAAGATGCTCAACATCACTCATTATCAGAGAAATGCAAATCAAAACCACAATGAGGTACCATTACACACCAGTCAGGATGGCTGCTATCCAAAAGTCAAGCAATAAATGCTGGAGAAGGTGTGGAGAAAAGGGAACCCTCTTACACTGTTGGTGGGAATGCAAACTAGTACAGCCACTATGGAAAACAGTGTGGAGATTTCTTAAAAAGCTGGAAATAGAACTGCCATATGACCCAGCAATCCCACTTCTGGGCATACACACCGAGGAAACCAGATCTGAAAGAGACACGTGCACCCCAATGTTCATCGCAGCACTGTTTATAATAGCCAGGACATGGAAGCAACCTAGATGCCCATCAGCAGACGAATGGATGAGGAAGCTGTGGTACATATACACCATGGAATATTACTCAGCCATTAAAAATAATTCATTTGAATCAGTTCTAATGAGATGGATGAAACTGGAGCCCATTATACAGAGCGAAGTAAGCCAGAAAGATAAAGACCATTACAGTATACTAACACATATATATGGAATTTAGAAAGATGGTAACGATAACCCTATATGCAAAACAGAAAAAGAGACTCCAATGTATTGAACAGACTTGTGGACTCTGGGAGAAGGCGAGGGTGGGATGTTTCAAGAGAACATCATCGAAACACGTATATTATCTAGGGTGAAACAGATCACCAGCCCAGGTTGGGTGCATGAGACAAGTGCTCGGGCCTGGTGCACTGGGAAGACCCAGAGGGATCGGGTGGAGAGGGAGGTGGGAGGGGGGACCAGGATGGGGAATACATGTAAATCCATGACTAATTCATTTCAATGTATGACAAAAACCACTGCAATGATGTAAAGTAATTAGCCTCCAACTAATAAAAATAAATGGAAAAAAAAAAAAAAGATTGCCTTAAGAGTTTAAACAAAAAAAATAAATAAATAAAAAATAAATAAATAAAACTTAAAAAAAAAAAAAAAAAGCCATGGGACCAGGGATGGGTCATAGATGGGGAGAGTCGGGACCCCATGTTGTGAGCCTGTTCGTGCCCTGCCTCATTGGTGCCCAGACCTGGCAGGACCCCAGGTGTGGTCAGAGGGAGTCAGTCACACCCAGGTAGAATGGATGCCCCAGGGCGGTCACGGTCAGCTGGCCCTCCAGTACCACCACGCTGTCCTCACCTGCCCTCTGGGCTCTATAATCCCTCCTAAAACCACAGCCTCAATGGTCCTTGTGGTTGGCTGTCTTTGGAGACTTAAGCAACTGTTTCTTGTCATCTTGTCCTCCTTTCAGAGCACTGCCCCAAGGCTGGGGACAGGGGGTGGAGGACCTGAATGAGCTCTGGCCGGAGACAGCTGCAGACGGACAGGCCCCCAATACCTTTATTTGCTTTTCTTTTCACCAATTGAGGCTGGAGGCTGTAAAATCCAGCAGGGCTGGGAAAGGCTGCCAGAAACCTGCTTGATCTCACCGCCCATAAGCCCATGAAATTAATATCGATTCTCAGCCTTGGAGGCCGGCTTTTCTTTTTTTTTTTCACTTTACAAAAGATAAACATTCTATTTGGCTTTTCTCTTCCCTTAAAAGACAAGCCGTCCCTCAAAAGGGCAGCGTTCTGGGAGGCTGCGTCTTGATCCACTTGGCAAACAATGCATTTTTTTTTTAATTGAGAAGCACCATGCGTGGTTTGGGGGTAAAGGGCTTCTCCTTAAGCCATGGGCAGGATTAATGTGGAGTCTGGCCTCGCAGCTTCTCAGAGAACCTGCCATCTGCTCACCGCGGCGTCCTGCAGCCAGCAACGAAGGTCGGTCGCTCGCTCTGTGTCCCCATCTATCGGGGTGGGAGGAGTCTGGGTATCATGTCTTCATCTCTCTTAAATAAAGTCCTTTGCAAACGGGCCTGCTGCCAGCCCTGCCAGCCCCACAAAACTCAGGACTCCTGTGACATCCAGTGACCACCCCCTAGGGCCACATCCTCTAAGTGCTGTGTGATCTGGGCCGGGTGACATCCCCAAGCTCATCTCATCTCCCTCCTCCCTGGAGCTCACTCCACTCAGCCATCCTGGCCTCTTAGCTGCTGTTCAACACTTCAGCCCCACTCCTGCCTCAGGGCCTTTGCACATGCATCTCTGCTGCCAGGGACCTGCCCCCCGGCCTTGGCACTCTGCTCAAATGCCATCCAGGCAGAGGGCTCCAGTTCCTTCCTTCACGTCTCAGCCCTTACTCTCCTTCTGTGTACTGAGGCCATGGGGATGGCCTGCTGTGTCCTTACAGAGACAACTGTCCAGGGATCGTCTCCTCCCACAAAGTGGGGGCTCTGTGAAGGTGGGACTTTGGGTTCCCTGCTGAGACCCCAGCACCCGGTGGTTGTTCAGAGATACTTATGGACTGGATGGATGAATTCCGTCAGGAAAGAGTAAAAAGCACTTGGCAGATACCGTTTCTGTCATGGACTCTCATGCCTAGGACTCCCATTCTATAAATGAGAAGACAGAGGTCTTCAGGAAAGTGACTCACTTAAGGGCCCACAGCAGGCAAATGGCAGAACCAGGCTCTAACTGGACCCTGGGACCCCAGAGCACCTGCTGCTCCCTGTCCCCCTGGAACTGCACACACTTTTGGGCCTCTCCCCCGCCTCCCATGCCTGGGAGACCCTCCATCGCTCACTCTTAATCACCCCTGCAGGCCATGCACCTGCCTGGCCACATCTGCACTGGTCTTCTGAGCCCAGGGCCCAGCTCAGGGCTTAGGATACAATAGGCTCACAGGAAAGAGACCTGCCCCTGCCCCATCAAGGACTCCCCAGATCTGCAGCCCGATGGTGACCTCCCTGCTGTCAGCCCCGACAACTTAGAGCCCCAAGAACACCTTTGTTCCAGACCGACATCACGACTGTCTCCTCTGAGAGACCGTGGGCTGCAGGCGGACTGGGCCCAGACCCTCAGCCTCCCACCCTCACTCCTGATCTCACCACATGCGGGTTCAGGCCCCCCGGCAGAGCCACCTACCCCTGGGGACCAGACCTCCCGTTCCTTCCCCGCCATTGCTTCCACAAGCAGCCAGAGGAAGCTGCCCCACCCTCCTGAATGGCCCTGCTCCCTCCTCTGTGTGGTGCAGGGCTTGTCACTCGGGGGACTTGCCCTCCAGGGCCCGTGTGACAACATCTGTATCTTTGGTTGTTGCACTGGAGACGGGGGAGGGGCTACAGGCCTCTAGTGGGCAGAGCCCAGGGAAGCTACTAAACATCCCATGCTGCCCAGGACCGGTCCACCTGCAAGGAATTCTCCGGCCCCAAATGTCCACAGTGCTGAGGCTAAAGGAATGCTGACCTGGAGCCTCAGAAAGGCAGGTACGGCTTCTGGAAGCTGACAGACCAGGCGAGAGAAGAAGCTGCAAGTGTAGAGAGAAGGGGTCCACACGATGGCCTGCCAGGCCCCTGAGCCCCAAATGCAGCAGCCCGACTGCAGGCAGCAGAGGTCCGGGACCTGCTGTCTAGCCGCCAAGAAGACCGTCCTGGCTGCAGAAGGTGAGAGGCCCCGGGACCCTCAGAGTGTGGCAAGGCCCCCGCACAGCAGCAGAGTGCCCTGGGACAACCATCATCCCCCACCCCCGTTTGATGGGGGAGGGTTCAGGGGCTCAGAGGGTTCCTCTGGCTGCAGGCTCACGCCCTGACCCTGACGGTCCCACCCTGAAAGCAAATAGAACAGAGGATACTGGAGTTTAATACACACATCTGTAATTCCAGTGCCTTTGAAAGGAGGGAGGAAGGAAATCTACAACAAGCTGAAAGTTGCCAAACGTCCCTCCACTAGGCCTCCCATGAGCCTCCTGTGTGCTCCAGTCCTACTCAGACATGGTGGCATCACTATGGCAACTGCCACAGAGTCTTCTGGTGGCTCATGTGTGCATGTCTGTCTCTAACCACCCAGAACTACATCCGAGATCCAATTTTATACCAAAGGTCCTAGGGTAGGGTCAGCTGGAACACAGGAAGGAATCACTTCTTGTTCACTAAACAGATGGATGGATGAACTGCTAACTGAAGGAGGGTCTGGGGGAACAGCCTCATTCTGGAAGCGGAATGGCCCAGCCTCGCCTGACCACCCCCTCTGATCTCTCGGCAACTTCAGAGCTGAAGTGGAGAGGAAAGAGCAGGCTTCCTCGTGCCCACAGCCTGTGGGACCACATGGGGGAGGGGAATGCCCGGGGTACCTGCTCCGGGTTCCTTCACAAAGAAATGGGGCTCCCCCTTCCCCATCAGATGCAGAAGCTGCGGCTCCCCCAGAATTACCTCTTTAAAGATGAAATCTTCCCTTGTTGGTATCGGAGCGCTCCTCCTAAAGAGAAGAACAGGTGGGTCAGAGTCACAGGAAAAGCTCTGCATCTGGGCCTCCTGGGAGAGGGGCTGGATTAGGGTTGGGGATAGTGTCACCATAACAGACTCAGCCCCGTAACGAGGCATCTCAGCTTCAAGGACCAAAGGCCCAGGAGGGTGTGGAGGTGCTCCGTGCCCAGGGCCAGGGGTCCCTCCCCTCCGTCCAGGCGTCCCTGGACAGGCCTCAGGGTGATGCAATGGAGGTGGGGCCAGAGGGCGTCCAGCTGCAGTGAACAGGTGTCCTCCTCAGAGGGGAGCCCGACTCGTGTGGTCTGCAGCCCCCATGGCAGTGGTTCCGCAGCTGCACCCTCTGGATCCCCGGGGGCAGTGATCTCGCTGAAACCACGGTTTCCCAGGCCCTGGCCCACCCCCGGAGATTTGGATCGGGAAGGTGGGAAACCCTGAAGTTCCTGTCCCCCTCCATCAGGAAAATGCTATCCTCCTCAGAATGCACTGACTGTATGTTCAGCCCAAACCACGGAGCCTGGGCGGCTACGCCTGTCACAGGAATTTCTAAAAAGAACAAAAACTAAGAACGCAGGCCCAAGGCAGCACCTACCCCAGGTGCTGACGGCGTTGTCCACTCCGGACGGGTTCCCGTGAATCACCCTCTCCCCTTGGAAGGCCCACTTGTTAATTAACTCCAAGTTCTGCTCGGTCCACCTGAAGGAGACACAGAGACTCGTCCCTACCGTCCCTGGTGGTGAACGGGGAGCTGGGGGTCACTGAGGGTAGCAGAGGGCCGGGGTCACAGGCGGGGCTTGCTGGAGACCAAAAGGCGAAGGGGTCTGGGCCCCCAAGCTCAGAAAGAAGACAGATAAACAGCTCCGAACCTCTCTGGCTAAAGAGCAGGCCTTGAAGAGCACTCCTGCCCGATGCAGCGGACAGACCTGAGGCTTGGAGTTCACGGGGCTCTGCTTTGCCTCTCGTGAGCTGAAAGACTCTGGGCCCCTTGCCGGCCCTCTCTGAGCCCCTCTCTACCCCTCTGGAGGAACGCAACTCCTGCCTCCTGAGCGTGTGGGCCCGTTGGCCCCAGCCCTCTCTGGATTCCTCCCCAGAAGGAGTGTGGACTCACCATGACAGTGCGAGTATCACTGGAAAACCTGCGAGGCCCACATGCGGCCATGCGCTCAGCCCCACAGTCCCGCCCTCTTCAGCTCTCGTGTCCCTTCTGTGCAGGCCCTGCCCTGAGACCCACAGAAGCTGCTGGGGCCGTGCAGCCGAGCTGTGGACTAAGCAGGGAGCTGGGCTGAAACCCATTCTGCCGCCGACTCACTGGGCGTCGCTGAGCAGCCGCGTCACCTCTGACCCTCAGTTTCCTCCTTCGGGAAACAGGGATAAAGGTGTCAAACCACAGAGGACATCATGGGATGGAAAAGCACACTGGTGCTCTGCAAAACACCCAGGGGGCAGTGTGTATTCCACCTGGGGTCTCTGTCCTGGAGTCACTCCAAGCCCGGTCCACCCCCTCCTTCGCTGTGGAGCCTTGGGCAAGTCAATCACCCTCTCTGAGGCTCTTTCCTCAAGGGTCAGATGAGGATTTTATGGACCTGAGACTCACCCAGTGGTTGTGAAGCTATGTTTAATAGTCAGTCAACACTGCTCAGAGCTACTGATTACCCAGGGCCAAGCACTGTGCTACAGGCTTCCCCTAATGGACCATGTGTAATCCTCACAATAACCTCTCAGGGAAGGTACAGTCACCACCCTCTTTCTTACAGAAGAGGACGCTGAGGCTTCGATGGGTGAAACAGCATCCCCAAGACCACGGTGCCACTCACGGTGACGTCGGAACCACATCCGCTCGTCAGAGCCCAAGCTTGTAACTACTGACCTTTGGGGTGCTGACGAGACTCGCTCACTTGTTCAATATACACTGAGCATCTACTATGTGCCTGTGACTAAGCGCACACAGACGTGGTCCCTGACTACTTGCAGCCTTGGAGTCTAATGCAGAATGCATGTCAGGAAGTCACCGGTATTTAACTATAGCCTCCGAGAAGTGCAATGCCGACTGGACAGAGTGCACCCCATTCTGAAAGGGATGGGGAGGCCTAAGGGACAAGGGGTGAGGGTCAGGGAGGCAGGATGTGGGGGCAGAGCTGTGCAGACTGTGCTGTGCCTGGGACTGGACAAGAGCTGGCCCTTTCCAGGACCACAGATGAGCTGGGAGCAAGGTGGGGAAGGGGCACCTGAATGCAGCCCAGGGTCCGGTCCACTCAGCAAACTTGATTCTTTCTTCTGATTGGAAGACGCTGGGGGCAGGGAGGGTGGGGGCCAGGTCTGGTCTCCCTACCCGTTCTGAGAAGCAGTGATGGGTCTTCAGGGGAGGTGGGAGAACTAGGTGCAAAGAAGCAGGACAGGAAAGACCACACGCACACTTGGACACCCATCGGCGTGCATATGCACACACACACCCGCAATCACCCTTGTCTTTTGAAAGGCAGAGCCGGTCTGTGGGTCCGTGGGCAGATGTCTATTTGGGGGACCCAGGCCACCTGGCCTCCACTGCTCTGCCCTAGAATCAGCGATCAGCATGAGGTACTGAGCGGTGGTCCTGTCGCCTCTGTCCTGTGTCACCACCTTACCCTGGAATCAGCACGTGTCAAGGCTGGAAGCTCTCCCACCCCCACCCAAGAATTCATCAGGTGCAGCCACTCCTTCTCAGATGAAGAAACAGAGCCCCAGAGAGAAGTGAGTTCACAGGCAAATGTGACTGTGATTCCGGAAAAACGGCCCCCCCGCAGCTCGCTCATTACCTGTCAGATGCCTGCCAAGGCCATCTCCACCGGCCCCCACCCCCCCGGTATGTGAGCCCTTCAGAGCAGCCCTGAAGAATTCAGACTGGGAATCCTATCAACAGCCTTGGACCCACTGTGGCCACAGGGACCAAACTGAGCTTTGGACCTTGGCAAGCAGCACACCCTCCCCGACACAGCACAGCTGGGCCCACATGGCTGCTACTGGAAGCTCCCCAGCAAGAGGGCTCCCAGAGCCATGAGGGCCCAGGACAGGCCTCAGCAAGAAGCTGCCAGGCTGGATGCTGCGGCCTCATTCCTGACTCCCAGGACAAACTGCATTATCTGTGCTCGGGCTGGTTTCTCAAGTTTCCCCAACTGAGAGAAACGGCCCACCGCAGCCCTGTCTGGACAAGCCTCGGTGACCCAGTGAGAACCGCAGAGGAGGTGCTACGACCTTGCGGGCCTGAAGACCAACAGGAGGGGAGACACCCTGACCGGACCGACGCTCCTTCTGTGTGTCCTTCTCAGCACGCTACTCTGTCTGTCATAACCATTTGGTACGACCTGGTAATGCCCCCTGGGTGTTGGTAGCACCGTTTACAGAAAATGGCACTGAGTGAGGCTCCCTGTGGGGGGAGTGGGCTGGTCAGGGTCCCACAGTGAGCTGGTGACAAGGGTGATGGCTCGTCTGATCCACTGCCCTCTACATCTGGGCTCAGGTTCTTTCTAAAAAACCACAGCATGGGAACCTAAAGGAGGCAAGGTCGGAATGAGGTGGCGGCGGGGAGGGGGTGGTGGCAAAGAGCTCAAGTTCTCGATTCAGACCACCAGGTCCAGATCCCACTCCACCATCAGAAGCTGTGTGGCTGCCCTGCGCCTCAGCATGCCCAGCTGTAAGGGGCCCACAGGACAGATCTGACCTTGGAAAGCGGTGCCCAGGAGGGACAAGGAGCAGGGGGACGGCCTGATTACCTGCTGGCAGCCTCCCCATCCTTCAGCGGGTTTGGGATCTCCTCACACGCGGTCAGGAGGGCGGCTGCCAAACACACGGAGTAGGCGGCACTGGAGCCCAGGCCGGCCCCGGTGGGCAGCTCCGACCACACAGTGATGTCCAGACTGGGCAGGGCTCTGAAACACACCGGGCGGCAGCGCTCTGAATCTCCACACGACCCCTTGGAGGGAGATGCTGTCACCACCCCCATTTTACAGATGAGGAAACTGAGGCTCGGGAAGGCTAAGAACCTCATTCAAGCTAGAAAGTGACCCAGGGTTTGAACCAACACTGTCTGACCCTCAGCCGCACGCAGCCCGTGCCCTGTATCACCCCGTGACACCACCTCAACATGAATGTCCCTTTCTAGGAGCTGGCTTCCCCACGGGCAGACAACCCAGATCTTATCATAACACAGGCTTCACTCTGCTAATCACAGAGATCTCATGGAGCCTGTGGAACATGGAACAAGCGTGTCTCCCTGGCCATGGCACAGAGAAGCCACCCAGCAGATCCAAGAATGGACTCTGGCTTTGGTTCGGCTGAACTGAAAGGCCAGAGGCACTGTGAGTTAAAAAGGCAGGTGTTGTGGGGAGGGAGGTGGGAGGGGGGTTCAGGATGGGGAACACATGTAAATCCATGGCTGATTCATATCACTGTATGGCAAAAACCACTACAATATTGTAAAGTAATTAGCTTCCAGCTAATATAAATAAGTGGGGAAAAAAAAAAAAGACCAACTGAGGAAAAAAAAGGCAGGTGTTGAACTGAAGAGAATGGAATTGATTTCCCCTCTCTCAGCACTTACTAACTAGCTATGTGGCCCAGAAAGTCTCTAACTATCTGGGTCTCAATTTCTCCCTGTGCAAAATGGAGAGGGTGTCCTTCTCGTGAGGTTGCTGTGAATACTGAAAGCAGAACATATATATATACACACACACATATATAGAGTCTAGCAAGGTGGGCATCCCTTGTAACTCAGTCAGTAAAGAATCTGCCTACAATGCAGGAGATCTGGGTTCGATTCCCGGGTCAGGAAGATCCCCTGGAGAAGGAAATGGCAACCCACTCCAGTATTCTTGCCTGGAGAATCCCATGTACAGAGGAGCCTGGCAGGCTACAGTCTACGGGGTCACAAGAGTCGGACACAACTAAGTGACTAAACCACCAACTAAACCACCACCAGTATGGTGCCTGGAACGCAGCAAGGACAGCTGATGGGTATTCAGAGCCTGGAAGGCAGCCCATGTGTTGTCTAGCGGCCAAAACTTGGGCTCAATCTCAGGGGCGGCTGTACCTGGGCTCCCTGCCCCAACGGCGCACATACCTCTGACCCCGGCAGATAGACAGGTACAAATAGAGGAAAGCCAGCACGGCCAGGCGCTCGGGGTCCACGCAGTCCTCGGGGAAGCCCGCCACCTCCTTCAGCTTCTCCACGTGCTCCGGGGTGAGCACCGCACCGTCACCGTGCCCTGTCACACAGGCAGCCAAGTGTACGCGGGGGGATGAGGAGGCCTCGGTGCTTTTATAGACACCAGAACACAAAGCAACTGAGCCACTCCAGGCATCAGAATCTGGACAGACGTGGGCTCAGGGTCCGAGCACCACAGCCGAGGCTGTCGGTGGACTCCAGGCTTGGGAGGCAGGCAAGCCTGGGTTTGGGTGGGTCCTGACTGTGCCAAAGACTGGTTTTCTGACCTTGAGTAGGGGATTTAATCTGTCTGCACCTCAGTTTCCCTGAGGGGTAAACAGAGGTAACAGGGTTATCTCTTCCCAGGATTGTTGTAGAGATAATAAAAAAGGTACAGAAAACCCTTAGCACAGCTCCTGGCATGTAGTAAGGGCTTAATTGCTAGTAGTTTTCAAACACACATGCATATACACGTGTACACACACACACATATCACTCAGAGGCCTGGGTTTGACCTCCATGGTACAATATCAAAACTAAAGGCCACGAGGCTTCCCTGGTGGTCCAATGGCTAAGATTCCAGGGTCCCAGGGCAGGTGGCCCAGATTCGATCCTTGGTCAGGGAACTAGATTCCACAGGCTGCAAGTAAGAGTTCACGTGTCACAACTAAATGACCCTGCATACGGCAACTAGATATCCTGTGTGCTGCAACTAAGAACCCAGAGCAGCCAAATAAGTATATAGATATATTTTTCAAAGATCGCCCAGTAACTTAAAAATTGCTACAAAATATTAAAAACACAGACACACAAATTAAAGGCCATATTACTTCCCCAATAGTGCCCTTTCCCAAAACATAATTAGTGAAAACAGGACACGCACATAAAGCAAATATGAAAAGTGGAGATTTGCTTGGGTGGAAGGGAAAGGCCGGCGTGTGGAGAAGGCTTTTAAATTCTAAATAAATTAATATATTAATAAATAAGTGAAACTATTCTTATGGGGGACAGGAGAGAAAACACCCCCAGAGTGACTTGCCTTGGGTCCCTCGGGGACAGCTTGGGATGATGGCCCAGCCGTCCTCCTTCTCCTTCTCTTCAGGGCCCAGGCTCTTTCCGCACCTGGTTCCTGCTCCCTGCACTTACCCAGAAAGCTGGTGTCCAGCAGCTGAAGGCTGGCCACATCCCAGGCCCTCCTAACGCCAATGTTTGGTAAGCTGAGGCCCACTTTCCCATTGCTGTGGGGCTGAAGCCGGAGGAATGTTCTCAAGTTCAAGGCCACTGCTAGTGCAACCTACAGAACAAAGGGCATGATACCAGCAGTTATCCCAGGGGTGGCTGGCAACATGCATGGCTTCTGACTTAGATACTAGCACATGGGCCACTCTGAACTATGCCCTTGGCAGACACTTCTCATCAACCTTGGCACCTGCTTCACAGGCACAACCGCTACCAATCAGTTAGGAGTTAATACCTACATGTCTTTTCCTTTCCCACGTAAAACTTCAGAATTTCTCAACACCATGGGATGGCTTCCCTGATCACCGTGTTTTCAAAGATTAATAGAAGAACGTGAAAAATGAGAGCATGGAGGAGCGGAGAAAGCATGGCTTTAGGTTCAAGCAGATAGGGTCACTTCTAGCTCTACCGAGGTGTGCGGGACCTTGAACAAGTTGCCAACGCTCTCCTAAGCCTCAACTTCCACAACTGTAAAATAGGACAATGAAAGTTTAACCTCTGAAGACAGTTGTAAGAGTTAAATGAGATATTCATGTCTTAGACTCCTCTGCAGGATCCTATTCATTCTCCCCAGAGTTTAGTCCTTAAACTTCATCTCTTCTCCACTGAAGCTCACTTCCTAAGCAACTTCATTCCGCCCACGTGGCTTTCCATGTCATTTTCTTGCTGTCTTACTGGGTGGGCCAGAGAAGTCCTTCAGAGAGCCTTACACCTACCTTTTCTTTGCCCAGCTGGGAAGAAACTGACCTCTCTGATCTCCCAAGCTACACCTCAAGACTTGCTTTCAGCTTCTTTTAAGATTAGCATCAGGGGACTTCCTGCTGGTCCAGTGGCTAAGACGCCATGCCCCCAATGCAGGGGGTCTGGGTTTGATTTCCTGGTCAGGAAACTAGATCCCACATGCCGCAACTGCGACCCAGCACAGTCAAATAAATAAATAAATATTAAAAAAAATATATTAGCATCAGGGGACTTCCCTGGTGGTCCAGTGGTTAAGAATCTGCCTGCCAGTGCAGGAGACACAGGTTTGATCCCTGGTCCAGGAAGATCTCACATGCCGTGGAGCAACAAAGCCTGTGCTCCAGGCCCCTGAGAGCTGCAACTACTGAGCCCACAAACCACGACTAGTGAAGCCAACTTGTCTGCAGCCTGTGCTCCACAATAAAAGAAGCCACCGCAATGAGAAGCCTGCACTTGCTGCAACTAAAGACAGCCCTCACGCAGCAACAAAGACCCAGAGCAGCCACAAATAAATTTAAGAAAGAGAAAAGATTAGTGTTCAGGAGCAGCAGTTCCCAACCCTCAAAGGCTCAGGGGGCCTTGTACCTTGCCATGGACCACGGCATGCTCTCCATGCAGAATGACTTTCCCTGGAGCGGACACCAGCAGGACTTCTGACGACATGGCTCCTGGAAGTCCTGAAAAGGAAAGACAAGAGAGAGGATGGAAGGTCCCCAGACCTCAGAGAATGCCTAATTCAAGCACCCCATGATAACAAAAAAGGCAGCTACATTCAACATTTGCTATGTGCCGCCAAAGCAGTACAGAGCAGCAATCAGCCTAACATACCAAAAAATCTGGGTTCGAACCCACTGCTCCCCAGTGATGTCATCTTAGCTAGCCACATAGCCGTCAAATAGCCACGAACCTTAAAAGTTACACAGGGACAGTAACTATTTACCTCAATGGGCTTTGAGAAAGTTAAACTAAATAACACAAGCAAAATACTTGGCAGTGTCTGGCACACCACAGTCAGTTAACTGATAGCTCTTTATTACTGACTCTGTTTTTGGTACCAGCTTTTATTATTACTACTATTAAAAGCAGAAATTTAAATGAAATCATGGACTGGAAAGAAATTTTTTCTTGGGCATTTTCAGGCTGTTTCTAACGCTTGGCAATTAGAAACAAGCTGCCGAAAAACAGCTGTTACACCTCCTCACCACCCCCCCCCCTTTTTTTGCACACTTAGGTCAGGATCTCTGCAAGACAGTCCTAAAAAGTGACTTGCTGGGTGTGCGTGTGCACATTTTAGATTTTTACAAATAATGCAAAGCTACCTCATGGCTCAGGCGTTAAGGAATGCGCCTGAATGCAAGAGACCTGGGTTCGATCCCTGGGTCAGGAAGATCCCCCAGAGAACGGACTGGCAACCCACTCCAGTATTCTTCCCTGGAGAATCCCATGGATAGAGGAGCCTGGCAGGCTACAGTCCACGGGGTCGCAAAGGGTCGGACACGATTGAGCGACTTAAAAAACAGAAAAGAAAAAAAACTAATCTATTTAAGGCTTTACTTCAATAGCGTGAGGCCTGAACCGAGCTATGAGCTAAGTGCTATTGTGACCTCAGTTCCTCAGGGCAGAGAAACTCAGGCTCGGAGTGAGGAGACCTACTGCTTGTCCGAGATTCAAAATCCTGTCAGTTTCCAGGTCGCCGGCTCCCGAGGACGGATTCTCAGAGCTGAGACTGAGCCTGAGAGGCCGGGAGCCCAGTCCGGGGTCGTTCTGGGTCTCGGCCTCGAACTTCGCGCCACCCCGCCTCGCAACCCCAACCTCTCTCACCTGTCGCTCAGGTGCTCTGCTCCCAAAGCCGAGAAGCTCCAGGACTCCATACCCGAGCTCGCGGGTACGGAGGAGAGGCGGCTTCTTCCTTCCGCCAAGCCAATCAGAGCGCGCGAGCCGAGAGTTCCCTTTACCAATTGGCTTGAGCATTGGCCAATAGCTCTTGTTTACCAAGTCTTCACGGGTTTCCCCGCCCAACTCCTTCCGTGGACCAACGGGAAGCAAGTCCCTGGGAGTGTCCCGCCCTGGGGAGAGAGCCACGGACCAATAGAAGACGGCGGCTGAGCGGTGGCGCGGCCGGCGGTAGGTGGAGTCAACTCGGAACCTGGACGGGAAGCTGGCGGGGTCAGCCCTTGATAACAGGCCTGGGGCATGGCTGTGTGGGGCCCGGGAGGTCGTCTTGGCTTGCGCGGGTGCCTTGGAGCCCGCAAGCTATTGTGTCCCCGTTTCCAGAGCCGCGGCCCCCAGGGCGTGGAAGACGGGGACAGGTGAGTACCTGGCTGAGAAGTTAACTCAGACACCTGACCTGAGTTGTCGGTGTTTATGTCACACCACTGGGAGGTCACCGCAGCAATCGCCAGGTGACGTCCTCTTTAATCCTGACGTCACCATGGCAACGTGGGCTCCGGGGAAACCAGAGACCAAGATTTCTTAGCACGAGACAAGTCCAAACGAAATCCAGCATCCATCAGGACCGGGCATAACCCACGTGAACCAGGAGGGTCATCTTGCCTGACCTCACAATCAGGAGGGGTCCTCAATTCGGATCTTAATCTGTCTGCAAAGAAGTCAAGACACAGAGAGACACCAGCGTGATGTAAAGATGGCTCTCAACACATACCTTGAAACTTGCACCCCATCCCAGACCTCAGAACCTGACTTAGTACTGGATTAATATGTTTTATAGATCCAGTAATTCAACCTCTGAATAACCTTTTAATGTCACATTTTAATGTTGAAGTCTGTATTAAAGGTGTTGCTATTTGAAAATACCTGTCTTGGACCCTATTTTGGCAATTCTCCATTTCAGAGTATACTTGAAACTTCATAGTATGAAGGGGTTTTTTTTTTTCCCCCTTTCAAGACCCCTTGGCTTGGGACTTCCCTGGTTTTCCAGTGAAAGTGAAAGTCACTCAGTCGTGTCTGACTCTTTGTGACCCCATGGACTATGCAGTCCATGGAATTCTCCAGGCCAGACTGCTGGAGTGGGTAACCTTTTCCTTCTCCAACGGATCTTCCCAACCCTGGGATTGAACCCAGGTCTCTGGCATTGCAGGCGGATTCTTTACCAGTAGCTGAGACAAATCTCCCAATGCAGGGGGCCTGGGTTCCATCCCTAGATCCCACATACTGCAACTAAAGATTCCACATGCTACAATGAAGATGAAAGAAACCACGTGCCCAACTAAAGATCCAGTGCAGCCAAATAAATAAAAGTAAATATTTTTTAAAAAGAGAGTTCCTGGCTTGGTAGAATAGAAGTGATGGTTTGGGGTTGTGGAATAAGTCTTGGGCCAGAATCCAGCCCTACTACTTCTTCCCTGGGTGACCTAGAAAGGTGAATCTCATCCTATGAGCTACAGATTCCTCAAACATAAAATGAACATCATAGATGGTGCCTCCCTTTGGGGCTTGGGAAGATTCCAGGGATAATACCAGGAGATAATGCCAGTAATTCACTTAGCACAGTGCAGAGACTAGGAAAGTGATCAATAAATTCTTTCAGCAAATATTTATTGAGTGTCTTCATTAAGCAATGTAGTACATCAGCTACTCTGCAGGTACAGGTGTGACAAGAGACAGAACTGGCTCACAAAAGGCTTAAAACTAAGAGGAACAGAGGGGAAAGATTTCAAGAGATCCAAGCTGAAGGGGTAAGTTCTCACACTAAGGGTACAGGTAGCAAAGTCACCCACTGAAGAAGGTGTCTCACTGGATATGCCATCCATCCTCACTCACCCTCTTTTGATGTGTATTTCTCCTTAGGACACAGCCTTCCTTGAAGACTCCCAAGGTCCCCAAGATCTACACCAAAACAGGAGACAAAGGTAGAGTGGGGACCGGTGAAAAATGCAAAGTAAGAGATGGAAGCTTCCGTCTTAAAGTTCTTCCATATTCTTTGCAGACATTCAAAAGTATGCGACAGATCTCAGTAGGCATCACCCAAGTGTGATGCGAAATGAAAGATGCCTAAGATAAATTAAATGACAAAAGCAAGTTGCAGAACAATCCAGAGTTGGGATACATTGGATGAAAGTATGTGTGTGTGTGTGTGTTTATATGTGTGTTCAGAAAGGCAGTGTGAAAGGTTATACCTTGGACTGTTACCTGGGAGAGAGATTGAATAGTGAGAGAGAGGAATGAACAGGCAGGCTTTCATTGTTTGCTGTACATACTTTTATCCTATCCTGTTGTCTTTTGTAATGAGCATATATTGTTTTGATCATTTAAAATCTGTCAGAACAGGGGACTTCCCTGGTGGTCCAGTGGCTAATGCAGGTCCACTCTCAATGCAGGGGACCAGGGTCCAATCCCTGATCAGGGAACTAGATCCCACATGCTACAACTAAGACTCAGTGCCGCCAAATAAATCAATAAATATTGGGGGACGGGAGAGTATGTCAAGGTAAAAAAAAAAAATTCTTTAATTTGGGAAGCAAAATATTTTTCACAGGATTTTCTAGCACCTTCACTGGAGAAAGAAGACCCAAAGACGACCAGGTGTTTGAAGCCATGGGAACTACAGATGAGTTAAGCTCAGCCATCGGGTAAGGCTGAACCTGAGGTTGGGTATGAGTGGGTCATTAGCAGCCGTGACTGAGGTGCGGCCCTCCAGAGCCAGTCCCGGAGGCTGCTGGCCCTCAACGCACCTTCCTCGGCCTGGAGGCACAGGGGCAGCCAGTCAGCTCCACTAGACTGCGGGCTGCGGACGCCCTTCCCGTTGGCCCGTGTGCTGCCTTCTGTCCCTGGCTGTGTGCCCTGCCTCACCCTCCCTCCCTGCTCCCTCACTGTGCTCATGACTTAGAAGGTGGGCTTGGGGAAGTCGTCAGGATCGGCCAGGCCTTGCTGGGGTAACAGTGCCCACATCTCGTGACTTAACGCCACCAAAGGGATATCTCATCCTCCTACTTCACGCCCATCCTGGGTTGGGTGTGTTTCTCTGCGTGGCCTTCGCTCTGGGGCTCAGGCTGGCAGGACAGCTTCCGTCTGGAACACGGTTACTGGCGTTGGCTAGTAATCACGGCAGAGGGGAGAGAGGTCCAGGCAGTGCCCGCGCTGGCTCTTAGGGCTCCCACGACGTGACGTGCCGCCTCTGCTCATGCTTCACTGGCCAGGGCCGGGCACGCGGACGTCCGTGCCAGCGGCGGGGGTGGGAGGGGCAGCCAATATCAGAGAACAAAGCACAAGACACCTAGGAGGCTGTCGGCAGTGTGCGCTGCGGTTGCTGTCAGTGGTGTGGCCTTGGGGGTGAAGGCCATGGTGATCAGGTGGACCTGCGTTCAGATCCTCTCACCCTTCCGCCTGGCCGTGTGACTTCAGGCTGATCACCTGGTCTTTCTGAGCCTCAGTTTCTTGTTCTGTCAAATGATCATAGTGTGAAGGACTTCCCTGGTGGCTCAGATGGTAAAGAGTCTGCCTGCAATGCAGAAGACCCAGGTTCAGCCCCTGGGTTGGGAAGAGCCCCTGGAGAAGGAAGTGGCAACTCATTCCAGCATTCTTGCCTGGAGAATTCCACGGGCAGAGGAGCCTGGCCGGCTACAGTCCATGGAGTCACAAAGAGTCAGACACGACTGAGCGAGTTTCACTTATAATACATTTCTAAGGCAGCAGTAGAAATCAGTGCTGCTGCTGCTGCTAAGTCGCTTCAGTCGTGTTCGACTCCGTGCGACCCCATAGACGGCAGCCCACCAGGCTCCCCCATCCCTGGGATTCTCCAGGCAAGAACACTGGAGTGGGTTGCCATTTCCTTCTCCGAGAAATCAATGACATGGGTTCAAATTCTGTCACACTGCCGACTGGCTGTGTGACTTCAGGCAAATCACCTGGCCTCTCTGAGCCTCAGTTTTCTGTTCTGTCAAATGATCATAGTAAAAGTATCCAATCTCATTGGGTTCTTGTGAGGATGGAATGAGAGAATTCCATGTTCCCCACTTAGTGCCAGGTAGCTAGCACTAATTATAATGCTAGCTATTATTATCATCATCATTATTATTAATTATTAAGAGCTACTTGTTCAGGGCTGTCAGTTCTCAATGACAAGCCTGACTAAATAAGGTTTTCAGGATGGATAATGGGAGGTGGAACTAGACTGCCAGCAGAGTAGAGGGCAGACCCCTTGGTGTGTGTGGGAAGAGTGTGGGAAAGGAGAGGTAGACGCAATAGACCCAAGATGAAGCAGGCAGAGGGCCGGGAGGGCAGGTTCTAGCATCACTGCTTGTTTGGAATTAGCCAATCAGCAGCCCACCATCCCTTCGGTGACGTGGGTCAGGGGCCCGGCCAAAACTCAGCTGTGGATTCTTCTGCCTGTGTCACCTCTGTTCATATGGATCACCTAGGCCTGGTCAGAGGAGGCACTGAAAGAAGAGTTGTTGACTGGATGAGTGATATGAAAAACAAATACCCCCAATCATATGTAAGGTTATGATGTTTTAAAAACATTGTCAACAACAACAACAACAACAACAAAACCCTTTCTTGTGATAGCTCAGTTAGCAAAATGGTCTGTCACCTGAGAAGGTATTACCTTCCAGCAAGACAGGGCTTCCCTGGTGGCTCAGATGATAAAGTATCTGCCTGCAGTGTGAGAGACCTGGGTTCGATCCCTAGATGGGGAAGATCCCCTGGAGAAGGGAATCTCTACCTACTCCAGTATTCTTGCTTGGAGAATTCCATGGACAGAGCAGCCTGGTGAACTACAGATCTGAAAGATAGAGCAACTAACACTCAAGACGGGGCCTAGGGATGTTATATTCAAGGCAGATTCTTTTTCCATTTTCCTCGTAGGTTTGCTATGGAATTAATTGCAGAAAAGGGCCACCCGTTTGTGGAAGAGCTTCAGAAAGTGAGTAACATTGTCTTACTGGGAGCTGGGAATTTTCCACCCCGAGGCCTGGTGGCCTTAACTGGAATTGTCATCTGACCATCACTTCCTCTCTGTGTCACCTGGGACTAGTCACTTTCCCTCTGTGAGCCTCAGTTTCTTCATCTGTAAGATGGGAACACACAGAGATCACCCTCCCTCACAGATGAGTGACCAGGCTCTCTCTCAGAGAGGGAAATGTGAGGTCAGTGGTCTCAGCCCAGGACATGGGGCAATGTCCAGAGATGTTTTTGGTTATCACAACTGGAGGTGGAAGTGCTGTTGGGTCTAGTGGGTAGAGGCAGAGAAGCAGCTAAATGTCCTACAACGCACAGGACACCCCCGACCCCACACCCCCACCCCAGAGGATGACCTGGGCCAAAGTGTCAGTGGCTGTGAGGTTGAGAAACCCGGGAGGCCCAGCTGCGGGGAGCCCTTGGTGGGGGGACAGTAGGGTTCTTAGAATGACGGCTCTGTTCCTTAAGAGGCAGCCAGGCTTTGGCCCTCAGAGAGGACTTCAGAAATGGAGGCAGGGCTGCCACGCCTAGAGCACTAAGGACACACCCCAGGTTTCCGTCTACGTGCTGACCTGAGTCTGCTGGCCCCTGGGGGGTCAGCCCTCGGCCCGCTTCGGTCCTCCAGGCCAGACCGGAGCACGCAGGGGCCCCTGGGAGCAGACGCAGGGCAGTGAGGGGCTGCCCAAGGTTGGGAGGCCTAAACAGCTGGAACATTCTATGAATGCGGCACCTCCTGCATGAGGGAGGCTGGTCTTCAGCCTCATCATGAGGAACGGTTGGCGCCCACAGCGGTCGTTTCTGGTCTGCTGTGCCCACCTCTGAGCAGGGTTTGCCTGGGGGCAGGGGGATGCAGTGACACGATGAGCCCCCCTTACTTTAGGCCGCATACTTTGAGTGACAGTTTTGACATCATCTTCTCCAGGGCTGTTCAGGCCATCCCCGCCTCCAACAGTGCCTCTCCCAGGCTCCCACAGCTCCTGGGCTTCTGGTCTCAAGTGAAAGTGTTAGTCGCTCAGTCCTTTCCGACTCTTTGTGACCCCATTGACTGTAGCCCGCCAGCCTTCACCGTCCATGGGATCTTCCAGGCAAGAAAACTGGAGTGGGTTGTCAGTTCCTTCTCCAGAGGATCCTCCCAACTTAGGGATCTTCCCAACCCAGGGATCGAACCCAGGTCTCCCACATTGCAGGCAGACACTTTACCATCTGAGCTACCACAGATAAGAATCACCAGGCATATGGCCATGGGATCCCCAAGGGTGTGGACTGTGACTTGTTCTCCTAGGTTGCCCCAGGGCCTGTAGAAGGCCCGGCAGCCTGTTCCCAGCTCTCCCTGTCCATGAGGTGGAGGCCAGCTTTCACATCTTACAGAGGACAAAAGTAAGGCTCGGGCCAAGGCCCCGCAGCCAGGAATCCCAGTGGGGCTAGGATCCAATTCCCAGGTGGCGGTCACCTCTCTCCAGCCCCAGGGTGAACGCTGCAGGTGGCCAGCCGCAGGGTGGGACTGTGAGGTCACTTTCAGCTGGAAGCCGGAAGCCATGGAGACGCCACATGGTCACATAACTCAAGCAGAGTCTGCGGCCTGGTGGCCCAAGGAGCTCTGTCCTGCTTCCAGCACATTGCCATGGTGGCCTTCTCATCAGAGGGCAGATCTGTCCTGTCCAGTTGAAAAAGCACTGTCAGGCTTTCCTGGTGGCTCAGTGGTAAAGAATCTGCCTGCCGATGCCAGAGACATAGGTTCGATCCCTGATCCGGGAAGATGCCACATGCCACAGAGCAACTAAGCCCATGCACCACAACTTATTGAGCCTGCATTCTAGAGCCTGTGTGCCGCAACTACTGAAACCCGAGCCCTAGAGCCCATGTTCCGCAACAAGAGAAGCCACGGCAATGAGAAGCCCAGACCCTGCCACTGGAGGGTAGCCCCCACTCGCCACAACTCGAGAAAAGCCCACTCAGCAGCAAAGATCCAGCGCAGCCAAAAATAAATTATTGAAAAGGAAGGATATAGATCAAAATAAAATAAAAAGCACTGCCACCTTGGGTCTCTCAGCCCAGGTGTTATAGGTTAGAAAACCAAGGCCGTTAGGTTAGAGAAAAGAAAAAGACCTCACAGGGCCCCTGCACATGGGAGAGGAGGGTCGGGCAAGAGGATTCTTCCTAACCACCCCGGGGCCCTTAACACTCACTGTCTGTCACCCAGATGTCCCCAAGGGAGCCAGGTCTCCTGCTAAGCAGGGCAGATGTTCTGCGGATTCAGACAGCTTGCTAATAGCCTTTAGATGCCGGCTCCTTAGCAGTCTGAGGATCTGAGGGCTCTGGTCCAGAGCCCCAGCTGCCCCTCCCAGGTCCTGTGCATGGACGCAGGGGACCTCGCGTGGCCGGCTTGACAAGGTTCTCAACCACGCCTTCCTTTCCTCCCCCAGATCCAGTGCTCCCTGCAGGACATCGGCTCTGCCCTGGCGACTCCGCGCTCCTCAGCCAGGGAGGCTCACTTAAGTAAATCTCTCCCTGAATGCACTGGGTGTGCGCTCAGAGGGCCCTGTGGATGCCCGGGGAACCCTCTCCTGGGGGGCACCTGGGACCCCTGGCCTTGCAGCCTGAGAGGGAAGGTGCCTCTGAGCCAATGGTGTGGTTTGCGGGGCACCTGGATGGAAAGAGACCGGGGCGGGCTCCTTGTGATCCCGGGGCCGTGGCCTCATGCAGTGCTGGGCTCCTTGGCTCCGCAGAACACGCCACGTTCGAGGCGGGGCCCGTCCTGGAGCTGGAGCAGTGGATCGACAGATACTCTCGCCAGCTGCCCCCGCTCACCGCTTTCATCCTTCCTGTAGGTACCCGGCCGCCTCAGCCTGCAGGGTGGCTATGGGTGCGTGTGTTGACCCCAACACACCGGCAGTGACGAAGTCCCCCTCTTTAATGTGTAACAGTGACAGAAGCTGTCCCCCAGCCCCCAAGTCCCCTCCAGACCCTCACTGGTCCCATTCCCACCCCTGCCTGCCTTAGAGGGGGGCACCCAGAGGCTTCCCTTGAGGCTCAGACAGTAAAGAATCTGCCTGCAGTGTAGCAGACCCGGGTTTAATCCCTGGGTTGGGAAGATGCCCGGGAGAAGGGCGTGGCAACCCAGCCCAGCACTCTTGCCTGGAGAGTCCCATGGACAGAGGCGCTTGGCGGGCTGCAGCCATGGGGTCGCAGAGTCGGACACGACTGAGTGACCTAACACCCGGAGGCTACGCCCCAGCAGGGCCCCTGGAGGCAGAACGCCGCCCTGGGCTGTGGTGGCGGGGGGTGAGCCTGCATGTCCGTCCGTCCACATGAGCTCCCTGTCTGCAGTGGGCGTCCCCCAACCCCCTCAACCGCACCCGCGCCCCAGCCAGCACCCGCTTTCTTCTTTCAGTCAGGAGGCAAGAGCAGCGCCGCACTGCACTTCTGTCGGGCCATATGTCGCCGAGCCGAGAGACGGTACGGGGCGCCTGGGAGCGGGACCTCGGTGGGGGGACACAGTGGTCCCTGGTGAGATCAGAGCTGGAGCTGAAGCGGACAGCTCCAGCAACGGGGGGCAGGGAGGCCCAGCAGGTCTAGTTGATTAATCATAATGATAATACCACTCAGCTGGTGTGAAATTCAGATGCGTCTTCAGTGAAGGCTCCCCGTTCTTCAGGTTAATTTAAACAGAAAGATAGAAAAGCTCGACAGCATGATGACAGCTGTGACGGAGGGTGCTTGGCCCAAGGGTGACCAGCCTGCAGCTGGGCATGGGGGGGCAGTAGTGAGTGGGGGAGAATGGTGGGCAGAGTGTCCAGGGCAAGGGGACAGCAAGGGCAGAGGAGCAGTCTGCACTGAACACACAGAAAGGAGGCCGGAGGTCTGGTCCAGAGTGAGGGGCGTGGGGCACAGTGAGGCCGGAGGCTGAGCCCAGGCCAGGCCAGGCCAGGCAGGGCCTCCTGCACCCAAGGGCTCCGCCTTTACCCTGAAAGCTGATGACCGGCTCTAGGCCATGGGGTGACTACTGGGTGCTGGGTGGAGAAGGGCCCCGGGCCAGCTAGCCACCAGCTGCCCCCATCCCCAAATTCCGAGTCAGAGAGGAGGGGACCTCCCAGAAGCTGCTGACAGCCTTATCAAGGAAACAGTAAAAGAGCAATTGCAGGGACTTCCCTGAGGGTCCAGTGGCTAAGACTCCACGTTCCCAATGTGGGGGGCCCGGGTTCGATTCCGGGTCAGGGAACTAGATACCACATGCCGCAACTAAGAGTTCACATGCCACCACTAAAAAGATCCCACCTGCCACAAGTTAAGACCCAGGGCAGCAAAATAAATAAATACTAAAAAAAAAAAAAGATCCTGCGTGCCACAACAAAGATCCCATCTAAAACCCAGCACAGTCAAATAAATATTGAAATAAATAAAAGAGTGATTGTGCAAAATCTCCATTTAACACAATTCATAAGCCAGGCTGCCACTCAGCTTTACAGAAAAACGACAAGAAAGACAATAAAGCGTCTGTATACAACAGACGAGGCCGTGCTGGGCACTTTGTATTCATTATTTCATTGATTCCTTGTGGTAAGCTTGGAAGAGAGGTGGTGGCAGTCCCCACTCTGCCGGGGTCAGGAAATTGGGGCTCAGAGGTGACACTGTGGCCAGGGTCCCCGGGTGGTCCATGGCAGAGCTCAGACTGGAGCCCAGGTGTGTCTGCCCCAAACCTGAGCTCTGTCCACGGCCCCATGGCATGAAGGTTTCACTTCTCTTGAAAGGCTCTTGGACCTAAGTGGTTCGTAAAGGGACGCTGGGTCACAGAAGAGCTTCAGCTTCAGAAGGAAAAAAAAGAGTCATTTGCACAGAGCCATCCACATCAGCAGTGCTCATAGTAGCAAAAACGTGAAGATAGTCCAAAGAAAGGTCCAACAACGGGGACTGGCCGAGCAGAGGAGGGTCCTCAGGACACCGAACCCGTGCCTGGGTGACGAAGCCCCTGGGGCGGGGACATAAACCTGGGCCTCGGTTTGGGGTGAGCACCTCCCAGCAGGGGTTATGCAGGAGAGGCGACGGGCCCGGAGGGGCTGCCACGTCATTGGCCCTCATCTCCAATGAGCATCTTCTAGAATGTCTGCGCACAGACTGGCAAGGATGCCCGGTCAGGCTGCAGTGGGAGGGAGATGCTGGCTCGGGACACAGCCCCGGGCCCCGAGCGTGTTGAGCCCATAACAACAGTGTGACGCTGTGTTTCCTCCTCTTCTAGCGTGGTGCCTCTTGTCCAGATGGGTGAGACTGATGCAAATGTGGCCAAGTTCTTAAATAGGTACTCAGATGGGAATCTAAAAAGCCTGTCGGAAAACTTAGGCACACTGGGGAGTAACGACCACGCAACGAGCCTCCCTCATTCATTTGCTTCAGTTGTGTTGACATTGAGAAGCCAGCCCTAGGCCCCCTCTGCTCAAAGCAGGTTCCTTAGACCAGCAGCACCAGTATCGCCTGGGTGTCACTTCCACTTGCCAAATCCAGGCCCAGCCCAGCCGGTCCTCTCCAATCAGAATCTGAGATGCGTGTCACCATGATCCCAAGGGGACTTGTGTGCATACCCCAGTTTGCGAGGCACCAGTCCTGGTCGTCGGAAGGTGCAGAAACCAGGGATAGGGCCCAAAGTTGCCAGCCCCATGAGGCTGGGCAGGGCAGCGGCCTCTTCCTGCAGAAACCACCCCAGCCCTGGCGCCAGAGCCGGGTGGCGGGCTCACACGGAAGCTGGCCTCGTGTGCCATCCATCAAGCCTGGGTTGGCTGAGCACCCGCTGTCCTGCCCGATGCTCCTGGGGGCATGTGATTGATATTTCCTCCTTGAAGGTTCGTTTAGGGAGGACCCGGTTAGCATTGATCTCTCATTTCAGTCCATTCTGTTTGCCTGCTTCTGCCCCTCCAGACTCAGCGACTATCTCTTCACATTAGCCAGATACACAGCCATGAAGGAAGGGAATCCAGAAAAGATATACAAGAAAAATGACCCGTCAAATCGCACCTGAGACTCTGGGAAAGAATGGAAGTGACAATGGTGAAGGGAAGACTTCGCCCTCACGTCCTGATCCCTGAAAATCTCACCCACAGGGGCCAGAAGCTGGTCTTCTGTCCAGACCTGGCTTCCTGTCACAGCCCTGCCACTTCCTTTGGGAGCTGTGGTTGGTGGAGAATCCTACCCTCTTCCCCTGGGTTCTCCTCGGTCTTCCAGGAAATGGGAATGAACTCGCTGTTGCAGGAAAGAAAGATAAAGTGATTGCTTCATTGAGGAACCAAGCAGAAAAAAAGAATAAAAGTGGGAAAGGCATGCATTGTGTGTGTGTGTGTGTGTGTGTGTGTGTGTGTGACAGAGCGAGGCCTTCCACTGGCACTCTGGCTGTCTGAGGATCTGGAATGGTACCAGAGGCCCTTGGAAATGTCATTGTGATTTACCTGTGCCAAAGGGGCTTTAAATGTCACATTTATAAAGGGGAAGGCAGACAGGATTTGGAGCTTAGTCACCTCTGAGCCACTCATCACAGGCAGAGGATGGCTGCAGACTGGCAGGCAAGGCCTTGGGAACTCTTGGACTTGAAGTGTGTGCGTGGCGGGGGGTGCGACCTGGGGAATCCTCTCTCAAGGGGAGTCTCCCTCCATCGGGGCCAGAGACCCCCGCAAGAGGGGGACACTGCCGCGTTGAGGGGGGCGTGCCCTGCCCGGGGCGGCAGCATCCAGGGGCCAGAGGTGGAGTGCCTTCAGCTTCAGAGAATAAGCTCTTACGGTTCCAGCGAGGCTGACACAGACCAGACCAACTTCTCTGATACTGCACTTGGCTGGTTTATGCCTCTGAGATCCAGACCACGGCTGTATTTTATTTCAGTTGTCACCGTGGCTCCCTCCCGCTATGAAGCGACACTGCCCGCGCCAGCTGTGTCCTTGGGAAGGGAGATATTTATGAAGGGCGAGGCAGCAGCCCTGAAATCCTGAAGGTTCCACACCGCTAATTGCAGGAAACGAGTTGGGGGGGGGACCGGCTCTCACAGTCAGGGCGGAAAGGTCCAGTGAACTCCATCCGGCCATTGGTCATTAGCATGAAGCGCGGGAAGGCAGGTCCCTCCGGCCATCCTTGCCAGCAAGTCAGCAAACAGTAAAATGATGAGTTTTGTGCTTGCCTCTGCTTTCATTCTTAACCAACTTGCCTGCTCATTTTGCTGGAAGGAACATCATATCTCCTCCCCTCTGGGTCCTGTTGTTCCTGGACTTGGGCAAAGTGGGTAAGGTGCAGGTGACCGTGAGTGACAGTGAAAACCCTCCAGGAAGTGGCCCCGACCAGCGGTCGGCACCAGGTCTGGTACACAGCAGGCGGCTGGGCCAGTGTGAACAGAGCTGAGAACGGTACCGAACAGGCTAAAGGCAGTGTGTGGCTGAGCGGGTGGGCACTCAGGCTGGGCTGGGGAGGGGTATGTTCTAGGAGCTCCTAGAATCCATCAAGTCACTCGATCCTTCCTGCACCTTAGCATCATCCAAGAAGGAGCAGGTTGTACATAATAAAACAACAGCCCTGCACTCCCTGCCATGGTAGACCATCCTACAAAGGAGAAGACAAGTAGTTTGAGTAGATAGCGTCCTCAAGGGCTGATCTTTGAAATAAGGCCTTTTGCCTGTAGCCAAATCCCCGCCCCACCAGCCCTTGCTGGGAAGGGCTGTCTTAGGCCAGATGGTAGCCCCAGGTTCCCAAGTCCCGACCACTCCACACCGTCCCTTCCATTGTGAACATTTCCGAGAAACAGACACTTGAAGAAACAAACACCCCTGAGAAACTTGCCCTGTGCCTGACACAGCCACATGGGAGCCAGAAGCGAAAGGAAAAATGTGTTCATCCCCCAGACACTCCTCAAAAGATCCGCCTGGGTCTGGAACCCAGTGGGAAAAGTTAACGAAAGTCCATGATCAAAACACACAACTGTAAACAGACCCCGTTTGCAGCCACTGTCAACCCTCGTAAACGATTGTTTCCATCGCATGGTAACAAGGGTTGGGGGAGAAAAGGCAGGCAATTTTTATTTATAATTGTGATACCCTGTCGATCATAGATTTTTTTTGCATAATTTTGATTTTTAAAAAATTACGGCATGAAAGCATTATTTCTCTTGCTCCCTGGATTTGGAGGCATTTCCATACATTTTGCACCCAAGAAAGTACTCCACCTGCCTCCTGCTGGTCCTGGTCTAGCTCTCAGGAATGTATTTAGTGCCATGGCTGGAGGCGGTTGGATATTCCAGCGGCGAGAAGCCCATTTCCGGGTGACGTCACTGAAGGGCTTGATGTGCCAGGCCCCAGGCCAGGGGCTCCATCGACATTATGTTGTTGAAATCACCCAGCAGCCCCAAGGGAGGCACCGTCTGTGTCCTCTTAGCAGTGGAGGGAACAGACTTGAGAACCAACTCGTGTCAGGGAGTCAAGGCCAGGATGTGGGCCCAGGACGTGGCCCTCCCCCTGCCGCCACTTGACAGTCATTTTAATCACGACCTGGGCCGCCGAGAACAATGTCAGGCGCTAATAGATTCTGCTGTCTCATTTCTCAACCTAGTTTCCCTTAACTGATATTTCATGGCTATTGTTAATGTGCATTTTTTTCACCGAGTAATTTTCACAGCCCGAACTTGTAACACATCCCAATGACAAACGTCCCCGGTACCGAATTCCCCCCCGTCAGCTGCAATGTCACCCTCATCTCCTCCCCACCCCGCCCTGACACCTTTCTCCGACAACCCATCCAGTTTTATGATCCCTCTGTCCCAGTTATCACTACTGAACCTTTAAGAACCCAGACGCATTTCAAGTTTAATTGAATAAAATCCTTTGTGTAATAAATTCCACATGAACGTGACATAAATCAGTTCCTGGGAGGCTTTGTGGCTCATCCCTCCCTTCAGGCCGGTCTGATCTTGCTTACAGAGGGGACCGAGGCCTCCCTTGCAGCCCAGCTGGGGTGTGGGGTTCATTTGCCTCGACCTGTCACTTTTCTTCTCTGGGAGTCCATCGTGGGAGACAGTGCTTGGGTGCAAACAGAAGCAGGAGATGTGCTGACTGGGGACATAGCATTTGGAAGGTTAGGGGGGTACCCAGGAACCTTGGGGGTGATCCTGGTGTTCACCCATCCACAGATTCGGAAACTTCTTTGAAACATTTATTTATTTGGCTGTGCTGGGTCTCAGTTGCAGCACACAGGAGTTTTGATCCTCACTGTGGCATGCGAGATCTAGTTCCCTGAGCGGGGATTGAACCTAGGTCTCTTGCATTGGGGAGCGATGAGTCTTAACCACTGGACCACCTGGGAAGTCCCCAGATTCAGAAACTTCAAATGAAGGCTCTGTGCACCTTCTCCCTGGATAGATACAGACACACGGGTGTTCACAGTCTGTGTATAGCCTGAAGAGGTCTGTGGAAGCCCCAGGGAAGAACCCTTGCTCTTAGCTCTCCAGTATAGCACCCGCTGCAGGAGCGAATCCACGCACGGGGCTGCCTGCTTCACCGGCCTCGCTGCCAGCCGTGTGGAGCCCCAGAGGTCTGACAAGGAGCATGGGGGTGTGAGCAACAGTCAAACGCTCAGCGCGGGCATCGGCTTCAGACAGACCTGGGTTCAAGACCAGTCTGTCACTTCCTAGCGTCACGACTCTGGGCCAGTCATTCCATCTTCCTGGGACTTGCTTCTTCGTCTGTAAAATGGGAATGTGAAGCATATCTACCCCACAGGGCCACTGGGAGAGATAAATGAGGCAATGTTTAAACAGCTCAGGGTGCCCCTGTCACACGTCAGCTGCTATTATTATAGTTGATTGCTACTATTTGAATTCAAGTTCTGGTTCTGCCACTTCCAAGCTGAGGCACCTTGAGAAAATCCTGCAACCTACTTCTCTACTCTGAGTCTCCATCTCCTACTTCCTTTTTTTTTTTTCCTACTTTCATCTTTGGGAATAATGATACCAGCTTCCAAGGGTTCAGGAAATATGCCCACAGGCCTGCATGGGTGTGGCACATGACTGCAGCTCAAAAAAAAAAATTGTAGCTATTGTCGAATCAAGTGTTTATCCTTTTTCAAAGCACTTCCAATAGCTCAGGCCCAGGTGATGCCCAGAGGGCCACTGAGCAGCATCTCTGGTTTGCTTAGACGTCCTGAGCCTGCGGGAGATAGGGCCCCCCTGGCAGGGCCGGGTCGGCCAGGGGACGTGGCCCCAGGAGCACCAGGGCCAAAGTGGAAAGGAAGGTGACCTGGTCACAGGCCAGGGAGAACTTTAAGGGGTCGCCACCCATGGACTCCCTGTGGGCAGTAGTAGAGCTGGACAAGAAGGCTGGTCTTCAGATTCCCGCGAGAGTTTCCTCTTGGGACAGAGAGTGTGATAATTTGGGCAGAGGAGGAGGAGAAGTTGTTGAGCCGCTAAGTCGTGTCTGACTCTTAGGACCCCATGGACTGTAGCCCGCCAGGCTCTTCTGTCCAGGGGATTTCCCAGGTGAGAATACTGGAGTGGGTTGCCATTTCCTCCTCCAGGGAATCTTCCCGATCCAGGGATCGAACCTGTGTCTCCTGCCTAGACAGGCAGCTTCTTTACCACTCAGCCACCGGGGAAGCCCTGAGGAGGAGGAGAGGGGACCATAAACCCAGGAGGACCCCACTTCAAGCGATCTCTCCAAGGAAAGGTGAGACACAGGCCAGCTCAGGGTACACCAGGGCAAAGGCAGCCTGGGGAAGAGATTGAATAAACGGCAGAAACGTGTCCAGTCCATTCAGGACTGGGGTGGGGGACTCCTCCCCCCAGCAGATGCTCCCAAGGCAGAGACCCTCCGGCACTTGACTCTGGCCATCTGCGGCGCCCACACCCCTCCCCGGCGAGCAGGTGCCTTTATTTACGATCACCTTGGAAGGGTCGAGCAGACATATGTTGCTGAGGGTCGTTTATTCTTGTTTATAAAATTTATGGCTTTACCTCGATTACACACTGTCAAAACGGGAACGATTGGCCCCAAAGTC